CATTTATTATAAATGAGTATACTAACTCTAAGTATTAAATAATTATATTAAACAATATAATGTATATTGTTAAATTATAGAAATAATTAAATAACATTTATTATAAAAGAGTATACTAACTATATTTTTTTTTTTTTGCTCTTAAGCAGCCACGCTAGTACTTTATTAAAATTCTTGCAACTATATACAATAACTACATGGAATTTTTCTAATAACTAAGTCCAGCATCATCCGGCCACCTTATTGGTACCTAAGTGTGACCTGTTGCACTACCTCAGTCAGAAGTAGACTGCTTATCTGGCTACTTAAAGCCGTACCAAAAAGGATTTCTCTCTTTCGAGACAAGCATTAACTGTCTTCAATCCTTCCTTTAAATTCTTCTTTCTTCTCAAAGAACTGAAAAAAGAGAGGTATTATAAAATTGAATACAAATATAAAAATGACTAAAAAAACCAAAAGTAAATAAACAAAACCCAAATCAAAACAAAACAACAAAACAAATATATAATAGTAAGAAAAAGAAAAAACAAAAAGAAGACTAAAACCCTAACCAGAGCAAATTATAAAAATTATATAATACTGCTACTCCTAGTCTCTATTCTAAAAATAGGTCTATACTATATGTAAATATCATTCGATAATAGAGATGTTAGTGTTTAATTTCTTCTTTACTAATTCTACAGCTGACCTTTTCACTCCGATTAGAGTTATTCCTAGTTCCAGAAAAAGGATGATTCTCTTATTCCCCAAATGGATGATTTCTGCAGATCTTTCATAGAAGATATGCTAAATTTCCACTTCTTGTAAAAACTTCCATCAAAAAACCAAGTAAGGAATATGGTAGTGGTGTTCGGTTAACAGATATTCTTGAATTTCTAGTAAATGTATTGAAAACTTGCTTATTGTTCTCCTATAAGACCTACTATTTTAACTTTATTAACAGAAACTGAAACTTCTACTAAAATTTTTTATACAAGGATGCCTCCTGTCAGTTATCTTGTATATGCATGCTTTTAGTTTATTTGCTAAATATATAAAGGAGTCCAGTATAGAAGAACCACTTTGATCTTTATAAAAACCATTATTTATATAGTAACCTCTTCTGCTTTCTCCAATAAGTTTTTCATTTTTGTTGGTATGAAATTTAGTACAAGTGATCGTTGGAGAAAGTTAATGATTTTCTATAATAGTGATATACTAACTATAAATATTAAATAATTATATTAAACAATATAATATATATTATTAAACAATAAATTAGTATTAAAAAATATAAATATTATTAACAAACAATAATATAAAACATCATAATAAAATAAAAATTTTAAGTTATTTAATAGTAAATGTTAACTAATTTTAAATTTTGTATTATTTAATATATTATAGTTATATTAACTAATGTTTTACTATTGGTTAATTTATTTTTGGCAATAAACAACACTTGTAAAACTTCCTAATGTATGACCGTGATAACGGTGGTACCGATTTCGGGGCTCACAATATCGATATATCGTTTCCTTTTTTAACATTGTTCGGGATGCTACACGAAGTCACAAGGATGGACCATCCGTTCCTGGTATAATTAGTATATATAATGCCTACTTATGGTTTGATTTGATTAAACGTCATAAAAATGGGACAGTCATGTGACTCTGGCCAATCAGTGAATGCAATTTTTACGTTACACCTGATCTTGTTATCTAATTGGCTAGATTTAACGATCCTAGCAATTTTGATTACAAATCAAAAAAAAGTTCTGTGTACTTGTAAAATTCATGTAAAATTCACTATCATTACCATACAATAACGAATAAAAATTTTTTCATCTACCTTCGTTACCGCTGTGCTGTTATTGCTTAAATTTTTATGGATTTGGCTCATTGATTATTAGCACATTTAAATCAACAAAAATTTTTTTTATAAGTTCTTTTACTATGTCGGATCAACAACCCAAATCCTCTCATACTATTCAAATAATAAAGATTTTTTGAATGAAAAAGGAATCAAAGTAAAAAAATTTTACGATGCAAACCAAATTAAATTACATGTTCAAAAACAAATTGGCACGACAATTATAAAATTTTATCTTATAAAAAAATTATTTAAAGTTCAAATATTTTTACATCTTGAAGATTTTTTGGTAATTTATAGTACTAAATAAAGCACCTCTTTTGAAATCATTAACTTATTGGTCCAAAATAGAATAAAAAACAAATGCTTGTAAAAAAATTGAATTTACCTACAAATATAACCAAAAGAAACGTATAAACAATAAAATTTTAAGCGATTCATGTTATTCATTAAAAAAATTATAAAAAAACTTAGAGACCATATAAATACGCTGACATTTTCTGATTAATAATTGAATTGTCCAAAATCACATGTACCCGGCAGATCTGTCCGGCTACCATTTTTGAGGGCAACGCTATAACTCATACAGGGGGATCTCCAAAATTCCGGGTCGGAACCATCGGATTTAGCCCGGCATTTAGTTAGCATTTAGTAATACAAATTAACCATTTCTGAGCCAAAATTATCAGCTGGGCAGCTTTACTTAATGAGTGAGCTATGGTTTCATTAGTAAAACTTTTAGTGATCTTGGGCAAAATTAAGTATTCCGACCCGGAATTTTGGGGATCCCTGCATGAGTTCGACGCTAGGGTCGTTGGCTGGATTCCGAAAGCTCACGTGATTGTTACTTTTTTTTCCGCCATGGCTAGGGTACTTTTCGAATGCCATCACCACTTTTTGTAGTTAATACAAACTCTTATGTCTTCGGAACAAGCGATTCCAGCAGAACTTCAGCAATATATAGATCAAGCAGTTTCGAAATTATCTGAAAATAGTAGCTGGCCATTTATACAAGGTTTTTTGTTAGGTCAACTTACTATTATAGTTTTGATTCTCGCTTTTATAAAATTCATGCTGTTGGAAAAAGCCACCAGACAACAGAAGGTTCGAAATATAGTTTTGCTTTTACTAGACATAGGTTATATAACATCCAACATAAATGTTTTATAGCGCATTCTTCCCATACAAACACCAATTAATTCGAAAACAAATTGTGTGTCGCCTGCTTCGGTCATTCTTTCTAAAACATTATATGATCCCAAGTATCATTTACCCGAATCAACTGATTGGCTTAATGTTCTGCTGGCACAGGCTATATACCAATATAGAGAAGAAGCAAAGACAGACAATCGTTTAGTACGTTTTGTTGATGAAATACTGAATGATGGTGTCAAGCCTGATTTTATGGTAAGTACAAATTGACAGATAACATATATTACTTGGTGTCTGTGTTGTAAGTATTTAACTATATACACTGAGAATTGACTTAACAGAAGCAATTCATGATCGGAAATTTCTATATCTAGCTGCGGCTAAACAAATATATATATATATATATATAATTAAAAATTAATTAGGGGCCGATTGAAGTTACACGTCTTGACATTGGTGAAGAATACCCTATTTTTAGCAATGCACGCATACGACCGACTGAGACAATGAGCAGAATGGTAAGTACTTTAAGACAAATGAATTCAAATTTTTGAAATTTATCAGTAATATATTTAAAACTATTCCAAATTCAAGCGGGTAGAACTTGATTGTGATTTCAGCGACCAAATTACTCTTGGTGTAAATACTCAGATACTTATCAATTGGCCAAAGCCACGAATAGCAGTATTGCCCATTTCATTAGTTCTTTCTATCGTCAAATTTGCTGCAACAGTAAGAAACCTTATGCACAAATCTTTCTTGGTCATTCTGGAAGATACCTAAGTATATCTGTTTTCATTTAGATCACTTTGGAAATAATTGTGAATTCAGAATCTTCCTTTATCATTGTCTCGTCGCTTCCGGACTTCGTACTAGAATTTAGTGTTCAGTCATTAATAGGTTCACGATCAAAACTTGAAGATGTGCCCAAAATCACGCATATGATTACGTCCAAATTGCGAAATGCATTTTGTGAAAAATTCGTGTATCCAAACTCTACAAAATTCAAAATTCCAAACTTATGGACACTACATAAAAACCAGTGAAATCAATCGTTTGTAATTTGGAATTATGACTCAACCGGCTGAAACAGCTGATAATAAATGAAACTTATTGTTTAAACCATATTTACATGCAGTTAATAATTAATGCATAGAAGTGTCATTTGTTAGGCAGGTAGATATCTAGATATCGGATATGACAAGCATCTAGAAGTTATGAGATGTTAAGCAATAACTATATAGTCAGACCCAGGGGTACTGAAAATTTAATTGCAAATTATTATACAATTACGATCAAGTAAAATTGTTACGCAATTAAATTTAAATTAATTGCAAATAATTAAATTGTGCAGGTTGTTATAAAGAAGAGATCGCTTGATATCTTTGATTTTTTTATTCAATTACGTGATGTTTTTTTTTTAAATACAAAATTTTGGTTAGTAAATATACTTTTACATATGGGCTAGATGCTGAAATGGGACAAAAATGACAATTTGTCAAAAGAAATGTTTTTACATAAATCAATTTAAAATAAGCTTAGAATTATTTTTTACTTAAGATACTAAAGCTGTTGTATTATAAAATTTTGCAGTATAGCTCTTTAAAGTTTGCATTTTTTTATGATTTGTTATAAAATTTATAACATAAAAATTGATTTTCTGAAGATTTTTTTTTGTCAATTTCGTCCTTTTTTCTAGCACCAAGCTCATATGTTCTATTACACATTTTGCAAACTTTGGCAAAATTGTACTACCAATTAATCAATTGAGATTAAATAATTGCAATTAATTGCTTTTTATATAAGTATCTAATTTTGTTAAACAAATTACTTTTATATATTATATTAGAGAATAGAAATATTAGTAATAGTTTCTTTAGTATTATCTTCTTTTTTAAAACCTCAATTATTATTAACTTTAATATTTTTAGTATTTTTATTTAAATTAAGTTTATACAAATTTTTTAATAATAATTAAACATGTTTATTAGCTTTTTCTTTTTTAGTATTAAGGTTAATGTTTATAGCAGTTACATTTTTTAACTTCAGCTTGAATAGATTTATTTTAGAGCTGTTTTAGTTCATTTTAGTTTTATTTTAGATTTTTAGACATATTTTAATTTACTTTAACTTGGGTTAGATTTATTCTGAAGTTATTCTAAAATATGTTACTTTATTAATAACTTTAACAGTTTTTACTTTTATTATAATTTTAATTTATTTATAATTTTTTTATATTATATGTAGTAGATTTTAAGTTATTTTTTAATATATATTTTATTGAATAAAAATTAAATTTATTAAAAAAATTTCTACTAAATAAAATATTAATAAAATATGAATTAAACTAACAGTAACTATGATAATAATTACTATAACATATAAAAATATATATTACAAACTAATTATTAGAGTTTAATAAACATTGTTTATGATATTTTTATATAAAATAATAGAAAAACTGTTAATATTATACATTAATCTTTTATATAATGTAGTCAATTAATAATAAAATTATTTATTTTAAGTTTACTCTAATATGCATATTATAAATATTAGCAGAATAAATATACAAAATTTTGTAAAAGATTTTGTATATTGAAAATTTTTTGAAATAACTATAATTAATATAAAATTATTTTGAAATAAAATAATTTCACTCAAGAAATTTAATTAACTCTTCCCGATGATCACTCTAATACAAAATTAGTAAAAAAAAGAACTCAAGTTTTCTCAAGAAAACAAATAAGAAACTACCTAAACAGCATTAAGATAAAAGAAGTAGCAACAAAAAGTGTACTAAACAATCTTATAAACCAAAAGAAACACAGTAATATTAGAGTAGTTATAAGAGAAAAGCAAGGTGTTTTGAAAATTTTTAGCATTGAAATGACAATTATGGAGATTTCTATTTGACCTTGACAGTGTTGGCATTTGGACTATGTCCAAACAAAATTTTAATTGGACATGGACAAATATGGACATGGACTAAATCCAAAAGGTGTCCATGTCCAAATAAAGGGTCAAATATAAAAATCCTTTGTATAACCACTTCATCTAATAAATACTTAACACATGACATATTAAATTAGATTGCTGATAAAATAATATTTTATTTACCTTCCAACTAACATATTTGTGACTTCCCTTTTCTAGCATCCTTTTTGTGATATTTATAGTCATTATCACATACTTTCATATTTGTCAATATTATTATTTAACAATGGGTGGAAAAGAACAAGTTTAAAAAATTGTGCCTGAACAATTAATATAATTAATGTTAATTCGTGATGATATATGGCTAATAATGAACAAAAAATTTTGGCATTGTCAATTAAAATGTGCTGTTGTACGCTAATTATTTTTAATACCACATGCTGGCCTTTTAAATAAATTATATATGTACATGTATGCAAATAGGAATATGGTTCAATTTAAATTAATGATAAAATAATATTCATACAATAGCATATTCGGGTAGATGGTACACTATTTATTTAACAATAGTTTTTTATTTTAACTAATGTCCAGGTTTATGCAATTTCGGGAATTTGTCATTGTTCAAACAATGAAAAATCCCAGAAAAAATTGTGTAAGTCTTGATTTCTACTTTTAGCCCAAAGTGAATGATACAGATTTTTGAACATTTTACTGTTATCAAGTGTTGTAAGTAATCTAACTATAATGATGCTAGACAGTAATAATTACAATAGAAAATCTATCTTGGTAATTTTGTCAAATAATGTGTTAAGCTGAAAATAATACTATCATAAGAATATCATAACTTCTAATTAGTATTTGTACATTTTGTTTCTTCAAAACTGGTTTAACAAGGAAAATTTTAATTTAGTATAATGTAAAATAGAATGGGTCTAAAAAAATGTTTCACATCATAATGATACTTTGGGCATTTTCAAACAACTTTCTTGTAAGCTCAACAAAGAATTTGATCAGCTGTCTATTAGACAGATTAATCTAATTCTTTGTTGAGTCTATTGAGAGAGATGCTTGAAAATACCTTTTATTTAGGTAAAATAATCACCATAATTAGTTATTCTGGTTTATTCAAATAAAAGGCTCTATTGACCCTTTTTAGCGATTCAGACTCTTTTCATTGGTATACTATACTTAATATAATAATATGGATAAATTTGAATTGTTACGTATAGGATCAACTTTCCTTTGCAGATCCCTTGACCAAAATCAGTGAGAAGCAAAATAAGAAAAATATCACAAAACATACTAAGAAGCAACACTAGAACCCTTAGTAAAAAAGAAAAAGCAACAAAATTTACATCTAGCTAAGAGAACAAAATACAAATAGAAATAGCATAAAAACAGCAAAGCTTGGAAAAATAAAATTTTTTGCTGAAAACAAAAAATTTTTTGTAAATTTTGGAGAATCCTTGTGACCTTTTTGTACAGATCAATTAGGTTACACAGAAAGCATAACAAAACAAGTAAGGTAAACAAACAAACACGTGTATGAAAACAGCTTAACAAAGTGAACACGTGATTTGCAGCAGCTGCACCAAACCAACTAATAAATAAAATGACAACAATCATTATGGGAAGTAACACATACGAAGTAAGACCCAGGAGTTTATTAGAAAAGGTGTTAGAAAGATCAACAGCACAAAGTCTGCAGAGGGTTGGCAATGCAGAGCTTGTCAAAATACTAGAAACAACAGATGTTATAGAAACAAGAATAGACAGATATACAGCATTACTGTTCGCAGCAGATGTAGCAGACATAGCAGCAGTAAGAACATTGAGTGAAGCCATCGCATGGGTGGACAAAAGAAGTAAATTGATAGATTTTAGCTTTAAGATAGAGGATAACTCACAACAGCAGAAAGAAAGAGAAGCAAAAAATGAAAGACAGCCAGAAGAGATAGTTGAAACAAAAGAAAATAAAAAAAGAGTAGAATCAGTAGAAGAACCTCAAAAATATGAAGCAGATAAGGAACAGGTAATAATGAAAAAAGAACAAAGATATACAGCACAGGAACAAGATATAAAGAAGGTAAGAAGAAATAGAAAGACTTCATGATACAATTCAAGCCTAATAGAAGCAGAAAAAAAGAAAGAAAGCAAAGAAGAAGACTTAACAATAATACAAGGAAACGCAACAGAAGTGCCATTAGAACAAAGCATCTAGGCACCAGATAACAGACTATATAACAATGAAACACCAGTAATAGCAAGAATTCCTGCCTATAATGTTCTAGGTAGAACAAACTTAGAGAGAACAGGCATGGTAAAATGGATGCTTAATGCAAATAGACATATTATCAAAATTGAAGAAGTCTTTGTGAAAGGCAACAGTTGGATCGAAGTATTATTTGACTGTAAAAGAGGAAGAGAAGAAGCAATTAATCGAATAAAGCGAAAAGGTGAAGGTTGGTTTAATTTGATTTTAGTTAAAACACAAAATCAAGTAAAGAGTAAGAAATAACAAGAGGAAGCAACAAACAAGCATAGAGTAAAGAATAAACAACAAAAAGAAGATAAAAGATCAGAAGACCTTAAATGAAAAGAGTCCAAACAAAAAGAAACACAGCAAAGCAAAGAAAGAAAACAAGATAAGGCTGAAACAGAAGCAGAAAGATGGCAAATGGAAGAATTAGAAGAAGCAGAAACAGTAAGATATCTAACAATTTGGGACTTACCGTCAGACATCAATAAAAAAGAATTGAAATATATGTGCAAAAGTATGAGAAATATGCATATAGTATGAATTAAAAGATCACAATATAAAGCACTAGCAGTTATAGCAACAGATTGTGAAAAAAGAAAGACAACATATGAACATTACCTCTTGGCAACAATAAATTAGCAAGAGTAACTGAAGGAAATAAAACTATACACAAAGAGAAAACAAAGCTGTTTTACAGCAAAGTTATTAGACGTCTCTAAAGGAGTATCAGAAGTGCTTTTATTAAGATGTCTAAGAAATAAGAGAGCAAAGATGGTATATATACCATTTAACAGAAATAGAAATCAGAAAAAGTTTGCAATAATTACTTTTGTGAATGCTCAAGAA